GAGAGCTAAACACTTTTTTGAGTTACTAATTGAGGTTGAGGCCTTGCCTTCCCCCTTGGTCAGCCTTTTTCAAGACCCCTTCAGCATCTATACACCTTACCAAATCCTCATTGCAATGTGGGAATCTCTTGTACTTTATGTTAGACTGTCTTCACTGCACTTTGGTTCGATGCTGTTTGTGCTGATAAGCAGGGAAACAATGCCAAAAATCTATCTTTGAAAGAGACTCTTTGTAAGGATCGGTAGCTGGGCACCAGGGCAAGGCAATGAGAAGGCTAAATTCTAGAAAAAAAAAAACAGATTGACTGTAATCTAGAGCCAGAGCCTGGGAATTTTTACTAGAAGCAGAAGAATGAAATGAAGCACTGATACGATCCTACAGAAACACATACTTTGCCTTGATAAAATCACACAGATTAAGAAGCTGGGGAGGGCAAGTTAAGCAACAAAGAAATCAGACAAAGAGATGAAGAAGGCAGCGTGCCAGGGAAGGAAGCAGGAACCAAATGAAAGCAAGCTTGTGTTTCAGAGAAGCTGTGTACCATGTGAGGATCACAGGCTGCTGAGGAGTTTCTGACACAAACATTAGGAACTTCAGGGAGTGGCAGGACATGGGGCAAACATAAGGCATAAGGTATGATTTCTTCTTCTCAGAGAGAGAAAGATAGACATGCACGTATGCACATCTTTGCACAGAAGTGCACACTTAGTAAATTTGCATGTGCACATATATATATCTATATATACATACACGTACATGCACAGATGTGTTATTTCTTGTGTTATTTCACTAGAAAATTGACTGGTGTGCATAGAGTGCAAAGGGTGTTTGCCTGTTTGCTATCAGCTGCCACATCCCTGATGAATAAATTGTAAATTCACTTTTCCAGCAGCACCGAGGTTCTCAGAAAAGATGAGATGACGTTAGTCAGGAGCTTGTGGGGAGGCCAAAGGGGCTAATACAGCTGTGAAAGCATAACAGGCAGACAGGCTGTTTATTAGAAAACCACCAGAGAAGCCAAAGAAAAAGGCCGTGCTTCAAGCCACCCAGTAAAAATGAGGCTTGGGAGTGCACCACAAGCATGAAAGCACAGCTTAGCTCAGTCCTAGTGTCCCAGTGTCCTACCAATGCTGTGACACATCTTCAGTAATGGCTTGCTACTTGTATAAAATACTTATTTGATTTGTTTTAACCAGCAGACAAATCATTGTTCCAAAGGGAAGGGCTCTGCAATATTAACTTAATGTAATAATCAAAGCTATTATTCAGGATTTCCAAACAGATTTTTTTCCTCCCAGAATTGCACAAGTGCATACACACTCAATGCACAATATCTACATGCTTAGCTGCAAGAAACTGCTGTAATTATTTTATCAGTGGATAATGCCATGAAGTGCTGGATTCAGCCACTGTTCTCAGATCATAGAAATTAAGATATATTCAGACATTATGGTCTACACAGACCCACAGAAAGAGCACTGATCATAACCCACTCAACAAGAACAAATAGACAGTACACATAACAAACCCAAACAAGATATTTTATGACTTAAAGATCTAATGACAGTAGATTCAGAAGGCAAGAAAAAGATGGTAGGTGGGAAAAAAAAAATACTGATATACGATAGCAGATCAGTTTTCCAGGGGAAAACTGCCAAAGACTGAAGGTACAGGACAGAAAGCACAAAGCTGTGTAGGCATAGGACAAGCATAAAATAGTAAATAGGTAGAGGAATGTGCCATGGCAGGGAAGACATCTGTAGGGCCCTGTAGTTGAGTTTGGGAAGATTTTGTTTGTTGTAGCTGAACAGGAAGCCAGAGAGTGGCATAAAGGGAAAGCAAAACTACTACTGGATCACTTCACCTACCGTTGTGTCAAGCCTCTATGTAACTCTCCACTTACAGATTTACCAGCTCACACATTCCTGACTGCAAATTTCTAACAGTGCCAATTGTCCAGAAAGCTTTCAGTTTGGCTCCACCAAAACACCGTTCTGTTCACAGAGCAGAGCAATAGAGGAGGATAAAGCTCTCATTTTCTGTCACTGCCACTGCATGGCATCCAGCACACTGAGGGTGGTATCCTTACTGAATCACACCATGCATCCTGCAGCTCTGTGAGGGACCCAGATGCAGAAACAACTCCAGGGTCCTGCCCTCCAGATAAAAGAAACCAGGTGCAACATGGCTACAAACAGCTTTGTCACTGGGGATAGGAAAGAGAGCAATGTCAATTGCATCAATATTGCTTCCCAGCTTATTTGTAGTGCAGTATGAACAGGCTGGAAGGCACATGACCTAACTGCCCAACTTAGGAAACACAGCAAGAAGGGAAGTAACGACAGAAGTGATGGAAGTCATAATAACATAGAGACTATGGAGCCTTTATAACTCTGGAAAACGAAGAAAATATGGGTAAAAGAGGGTGGGTATTGGTGTTCAGTTGCATTCAATTAGCACAAATAAACTCTGGGAGAAGTAGAGCTGTTCTGCATTCATACCACTATAAATAAGAGCAGTCTTACCCAACATGATAACTATTTCTTCTGCTGATTTCTTTTGGCTTGTTTCTTTCTCATCCCACAAAATGCTGCGTAACGGGCAAATGAACGCGGAGCTCTCTTACAATAAACTGGATGAGTGAACAGAGGAAAATGAATTTCTTTATGATGGCTTCTACTATGAACAAAACCAGAATGCCTAACGAGTGCTGGAATGATAGATGGAGTTTGAAGACAGAGTCTATTATTATATTATGTTAAACTAAAACAGCTTTCTTGACTTAATACATTTATTCCAAATTTTGCACAGACAGAGATTGTGACTGGAATATACAGAGTCTACAGATTTATGGAGCAGGTTCTGGAAAACAAGGGGTTCTGTTTCTCCCGACACTTAGAACTAAACGGGGCCAATCACTGATTACACAACACATAGGGAAAAAAAAGTTTAACATTGCTAACAATTAATATGTCATATGAATAAATAGAAAATTCCTCTAATTTATGAGGTTTAAAAACAGAAATTCCTACCAGGGTTAGAATGACAGAGAGATAAATAAGGCTTTACAAGGACACTAACTAAATAATATAAAAATAGCAAAACTTGCTCTTGTTCAGTTTAACAGGAAATTAAAATTAATGTAACATGCAACAATTAGGACGTGTGTTCTCAGTGTTCTCAGTTTTTTTAATATTTCATTTTGAAGTGGTATTTTGTCAATGCTGGTACCTTTGTACCTTTAAACAACAACAGAAAAGTGCATATAATTATGAACGTGTCCAGATTCCTGTTCCAAAGTCACACTTCCAGTTTATAAGGATTGAGTTGAGCTGTCCAATGGGATCACAGAATCACCTGTGTTGGAAAAGACCTTCAAGATCTCTAAGTCCAGCCACCAATCTGACCTACTGAGTCCCATCATTAAACCATGTCTCTTAGCAGCAAGAATCCTTCATCCCTCACATCACAACTGGACAGCCCACCTCAAACCTAACAGATCACTGGACTATGATAACGTTCTATCAGATGTATTCAAGGGCAGCAATCAGCACCTGTATTAAGGCATGATCAAAGCTTTTAAAGAACGCTTCCCATTGCCAAACTGTTACATCACTGCCCCTTGGCAAAAAGATAGGCACCAGACCAGAAACTGCTCTTATCTGAAATATTAATTCCTACAATGCTGCGTAAGAGCTCTGTTCAACTAATGAACTTATTTTGTAAGAGATTGGGTTTCATTTCAATGCTAAAAAAGAAAGCATACAAACATTTAAATTTAAGAAGCCATTCTGAATGACATTACTATGGAGCATTTGAGTAATATCAGAAAGTTACCATTTGCAGGACATTCCTCACAGTGCACATTTTGGAGAGTAGATAAGGACAATTGGGTTCTTCAGTTTGCAGTGGCTGGGAGATGGTGATATTTCTGGCTTGCAGATGGTAGGGGAGGAAGAGAGATACTGCTGCTGTCAATGGCACATAAAAGTAAAAGAAGTCCCATGTTCAGATTGCAAGCCTGTTCATGGAGCAGACTTTGCAGAACTCCAGTAACAACTCAGCTGAAGATGGTATTTCTTACTGTGTTAGGGTCTACTAACAGGGAAGCCTTCACAGCTTTGATTCTGCTATCTTTTCTCTTTGCCTGATGAGGAATAAAGGAATGTCTTTTCTTTGATATCCCTGATTCCTTTATTCTCACTCATTATGTCTTTGTTGTATCCTACAGTGCAATACTAGAGGAATGGTGGAGCACATCACAAAATCTGTGTGCATTTGTTTATTTTATAGTTTTACAAAAACAGAAAATTGGAAACACGAATAAGGAAGAGAATGTCTGTCTGCAGGCATATAGGCATAAAATGAACACTGAGTGTTACAGACTACTGCAAACATTTTCTGAATCACAAATTTTCACTTGAATTTTGACACTGAAATGTCAATCTTTCAAAATTTTTCTTTGTATAGATCCAAATGCTTAAATAGATAGTTTTTCACTTAACTTATGCCTGCTCACTTGCTTAGCTGTTATTTAACCAAGGGCCTAAAATCTCCTGCACACAATTAATCTTGGTTTCTAGTGACTCCTGTGGCAGTCCCCTCCTCAGCAAAAGTGGAGAAATGTTTGCACTAGAAACTAAGTGATCATGACTGATTTCCCCAAAGTTGAAATCCAATTTTGTGAAGCCTATGTACCAAACTCTAATTTCAATTTCTGTTCCTGGAACATGCATCCAAAGTTAAAAGTTTTGCTGAAGAGAGATTGCCTCAAGCATACCTTCAATGCTTTGCTGAATCAAGTCACAAATGCTGATTAAGATGGAAAGCTAATTCTTATCACAAGGAAGTCAAATGCAATCTTAGAAGACATCTACTTTTTAAGGTCAGATTCTAAGCTCTGATACATACTCTATCTGTAACATCTCAGAAAACACATGAGCACATCTGACAAACTGGGATGTGTGTCGTTGGCCACTCCCGTTTACTAGATGGGCTATCAGATTCGTATCAGACACGCAGCGCATTTCCTGGCTCCCCTAAGTGACCTACTTGAGCTTCCTATGTGGAAGGTTATGGTTTAACAAGCAAGGTGAATTCCCCACTTTGCACAGCCTGCACACACACAGCAGTGCAGTATAGAAGCTCCTAGTGAACACTTTACACTTGCAGCTATTGCAGCAGATGTCTTGAAAGGGCTTATGCATGACAATGCCTACCTGAAAGTAAAGCCACACCAATAGAATAAATTTAGAATAAATTCAGGACGTCCCCTGTCAGCTACAGAATACAAAATTTCTCCTCCAATTTTACCTCAGTGCAATTCCCATTGGTTTAATGAAATTATACAGAGAGCAAATCATGGCAAGGCTTTGGATGTGCAAGGAGGCAGTCAGTGTACTGACTCTGCAGTGGGAAAAATAGGCATCAGCTTTGCAAGAGACCTTTGTACATAATACAGTGCCTTCCTACCACCTACCACATATACTGCAATAAACACACTGCCTCCTGTCCTCTGAGCACAATTTGAAGAGCAAAATCACCTTGCCTTCTGTCAACTCCAACTAGGCAATGAAACCCAATATTACCTAACTTCTCACTCAGTCTCCTTGGAGAGCAGTGTTCAGATTTCTTTTCTCCATGGTACTACATCAGCCACTATTGCCAGTCTTCAGCCTTTGCTGGATCTATCACACAGCCCTCTGTACAAATGTTCACAAAGATTGCTTTCCATCCCAGGTCAGGATTTGATGCTCACCAAGAAGGCCTATAAAAGGAAGAGAACCATCAGACATCACGTCATGCAGAAACAACCCCCCAAAACAAGTTGGCTTTTTAGAGGAGATAATGGGCTTTGAACTTGGTAATTACCAGCTACTCCTGATGACTACATAAGGAAACCCACAAGCTCTTCAGTTCATAGAGGCTGCAGATGTAAACCCTTCATTATTGCTTCTGCTATACAAATGTTCTTTTGCTTTTCCGTGTATTTAACCTTTATAATGGCAAAGAAACTCAATCTTTAAATCTGCTTTAATTATATTTCTTCTTGACTGTTGTAATAAGGCCTCTCGAGTGACGTCTTTATTTGTGGAGAAGGCAAAAGAGTTTTCAAAAAATCACTTTAAAACACTACCATGGCCCACAAAAGTATTTCTCTCACAGGACAAAACAGACAAAGAAACAAGACATTGTTTGCCCAGAAAAAAAAAAAAAAAAAAGCCTAAAAAGGAAAGAGGAATCCAGGAACCCAGTCAAATCACAAAGCGTCATGAAGATGGCATTGCAAACAGGATGACTCCTAGCATAGACAGATCCATAGCTATCTGAATTGATTCTCATGTCAGGACAGTATAAGATTCAGAAAGGGAAAACTCTTCTCTGCCTCTCTCCCATTAGAAGTGTTTTTGTTTTTGTGGCACCATTTATGAAACCATTAAATTCCATTTGTAAAATGGCAGTATTTTTAAAGATATTCAAACATCTTAATCTTTGGAAAAAAGAAGATCAAGTACTTTTAAAAGTTAGGCCCCTGATCAGCTGGCAACGTGGTTAGATTTGAGGAAGAAGTAAAAGCAATTTCAGGCACTGTCTTCTTTTCCTCTGTTCATCGTCAATATATCTTTTTCGTATATTGCTCTAATTTAGACTGCAAGCTCTACTGAGCAGGAATATGTTTTCACATTTATAGAGTGCCCAATAAAATAATGGCACTAGACGTGTTTTGTAATAATAAGTAAAAAAGAAAAAAAATCAATGATTCAGTGAAATGATACTTTCCTCACACTAGCAATTGAAATTAATGCCTCCAGCAATAGCTGATGCTGCTATATCAATATCCGAGCTCCAGAAAGGCCCTCAAAATTGTGCTCATGTGTTTCTATAGCGTTTGCATTTTGGACTCCTGGAAAGTAATTGAATTGTGATAAAGCACTGCAGTACAAGATGTCTCTTGGCTCCTTGCTGACATGAAGGCACTATGCTTATCAGTGAATTAAAGGCAACTTTTTATGTTCAGATGGCTAAATCATTGCTGATATAATACTATTACACAAAATGGCTCGGATACATGCAATGCACTCAGCAACTGTTTCACTATAAATGTCTTCGAACGCTGATGCTGTCCCTCCCTTTATTCAGGCCTTTTGTCCTCTCCCAGCTTTTCTAAGTGTCTCCCTGGCCCACATTGCAGGACACTGAGTGGTTTCAGGAATATCATTTGCTCTGCTGGTACATATGCAAAATGAACGCAAAATATGCAGCCAAGACAAGCTCTGGCAGACCTGAAAAGCAGAGCAGAATAGATCATTTTGCCAAAAGATTGTTACCATTAAAATCTCTTCTATTTACTAATTATACTACCAAGAGAGGGAGAAAACACCTTTTTTTTTTTTTTCTTTTTTTTCCCACTAGAGATATTTTCTTGTTATCATATAGAAGTTTCCAGGATGCCTTGTCCTTGTTTGAATCCTTAGGAATTAATTGTTTTACCCACCCCATTTATACTGCATGAGGCCACTAAATAATGAGACTCATAAACCTTCATAATTAAGGAAAAATACAGCTAGCAGAGAAGCAGGCAGAGCCTTTTGGTGGCATAAAAGGACACCTCTAGCTAGTTAACAAGAATAGCCAAGGCATTCCTGATAATAAGTGAAATGATTCTAACAGCTGGTCTCATAAAATAGATCCCCAAATTAATACATTAAAGACAAACTTGAGTTGGTAGATTAGGGCACTCTGCTCAAGCAGTGAGAGCATTCGTTAAATTGCGCATCAGATACCTATTGTCTGGATGTGGTACTGATAGCCTCATTGTAAATCTGATTCTCTAATATTCCTGGGATGCAATGCACTGCATTTTTTTCATCATTTCCTCTACATGTAAACTGATATCTTGCGTTGAAGCAGTACTATTTAAAACAAAAGGGTTTGATTTATAGCCAGTCCCCAGCCTCATAAATCACACCTGCAGTGTGGTGCTCTGAGCTCCCTGTGTTCTGCCAGCATTTACCTTTTATAAATGATTTGGGTTTACCTCCCATTGTGATGGAGTCTAATACAATTGCATTCTTTTCTCCCAGCATTCACTCTTGCTGTTGCTCATTATTCCCACTGGGAATTCAGACCTAGTTTTAGCAAGCTTGTCAGGGGGAGGGGATTCTTGGTGGTGAGTTGTTGAATTTTTTTTTTTTTTTTTTTTCCAAATTGAGGAGCACTGAATTAAACATTTATGTTGCCATTCTGTAGTGTTTTCTACTGCTAGATATACTATACAGTGGACTTTTTTTTCCTTCCCATTGACGATGCTTAGATTTAAGTTCACATTAGCCATGCTAAGGATTTGGAACTTAAGCAGGAGAGTGGCTTGAAATGTCCAACACACAGACTGACCTTCTGTGTTACCAGGTACAGACATCATCAGCAATGGCACAGACTGCATAAGAAGTGGGAAAGCGAGGGAGGGCAAGGGAAAGCAAGGCAAATCAAAACTAATGACTTGACCTCTCCAGCGACTAATGTTCAAGGATTTTCTATTTAATTCTCAGACTGTACAGAATGTCCCAAAAGATGCTTATTTAGTAATCACGTCTCAAGTTCGCAATCGTATTACAGTTGTAAATGGTTAAGCACAGTTCAGGCTCTGGGATGCAAGGCTGGCAAGATGTTGTACATGTGCCTTGATTTCCCATGCACCAAAATACCAAATGATTTATTTTGTTCAATTAATGACCATAATCATTTTTACTGTTATATAACAGTGTTGCTACCATCCATACCTACAGCCGGCAAAGAATTAATTTTAGTCTGAAATTGATAAAAGCCACAGGACCTAACTTTTATTTCTGTCACAAACACTCAGAACAGCTTAGATTCAGCTTTGAGTCTACTCTTAAAAGCTTTTAGAATAGACACCATTAGTTGATGAAATGGCTAAAAAATTGAGATTTGGAAGGCTGTAATGCGTGTCAACTGAGATCAGACTCAGACCTCAAGTAGCTGGAAAAATAGTTCCAAAACGAACAGTCGTTTTTCAGAAGAGCTTCTCCCATTCCAGCATAACTCACAGGTGGACTGAAATAAGTAGACCTGTTCCAGTTCAATGAAGGATTAAGCTAAACACTTCTATTTTCAAAGAAGATTAAGTGAAACAAGAAGACACTTTGATTCCCAAATTAGAACTGTCCACACATGGACAAAAAGCGCAAGAAGCGCTTTTTGCACTTTAAATGCAAGCCTTACTTTCATCCAAATTAACTTTCAAATGAAAGAAGAAAGCCTTAAATTACTGCTCCCACTGTCTGAAAAACTCACACAAGAGTATTTTTATTAGTAGTAGTCTTTTCAAGTTCGTAGTGCGGGCATAAACATAATCAATTCTAACAGCTCTTGCTAGGTAATGAGTAGTCTAATTTTTAGAACCTATTTGGGACTTACAGTGTCTGATGTGCAAAAAATTAGTGATTTCAATAGGCTTAAAAAAAAAAAACACAATGGATTCACATGTTCTAAATAACGACTAATTTTTCAGCAGTTCAAAACCAGATTTTCTTCTGAGCATAAAATACACAAATGACTTACAATTACCGAGAAACGAATAACTATTTTTAATGTCAATATTTTTCACCTGAGGTTTAGACTTCATAGATTTGTAACCCAAATTAGAGCTATGAGGAGAGAGTAATTCTGAAAATATTGTCCATCTCATATTTTATCTTATGGCAAGACTAGCCAGCAAAATCTCTACATGAACTTCCTCCCACTTCGGAGCTATCTTTGATCAACAAGTTAGTTTTACCAATGTATTTAACTGCAGCAGAGTGCAAATGTCCAAATGCTGGCACACACACTTAAGGTTAAATTAAGTCTCTCTGCCTACCCTTGTGCTACCACAAGGTAATTTTGCAAAGGACGTGACTCCATGGACTATTCCAAGTACTCCATTCTGATTAGTTTTATTTAGTACCTTCATGTGTTCACCCTCCCATGAAAAGAGGTCCCGGATTATGAACTCCATTCTGAAACATCTTCACATCCACAACATCCAAAGACAAATATCAAAGAATTCTGTTGGGAGTTTGGTCCAGTGTACTTCAACTCCTTTTTATCTCATCTGTGTAGGAGGCAGCGTAGTCACAACATACAACATATCCTTATATGCTGGTTTCAAGAAAAACCTAAAATGTCAATGTTTCTTCTTGAAGGTAATGTCTTTGTACAAGGTCCAATCAAAAATAAACCTGCAACAAATAAATATTTTATGCTATGTAAAAAAAAAAAAAGAGATTTTTAGATGAATATGTAAAGTCTGCTTTTCCTTCAAAATTGTTATTTTGGTTAACCTTGAGGCTTAATTTAAATGTTAGCAAATGTGCAAGATTTCTCTTTGCCTTTAAATGAACTGATGTGTTTCAGTCAATGGTTTTGTTTATTACACGATACAGAAACTTTAAGCTATATCTGGAACAGTGATCAACTCTGAGCACTTCTTGGATATTGGCACAACCAATCTAAAGAGGACTGCTAAACTTATGTCCATTTGCACAGACAACTGAAGTAGTGGAAATGTGCAGTTTGGTTTGCATGCGCTGTTTTGACTTCTTCACGGAGAGCACTGAAGCCCACTAACTGCACTACTGGAAAGCTGTCCCTCTGCGATTCCTCATGTTAGCATTTTGGACATGATCCAGCCAGCTGGCTTCTAAGTTCACATTTGTATCACAAAAAGTCTTTCAATCCATCACGTTACTGGAATCCAAATACTGGCCCCAAATGCTCCTGTAACAGATCTATTGAAAATACATTGAAATATTCAGACCTTGCAAAGAAGGAGTGGCTATTTCCACTTCTCCTGAAGTTTGTTCATTCTCCTGGGAGACATCAGTAAAAAAATTCAGCCTAGAAACTTGCAAAATAAATACTTGATAGAGCCATTAATATGCAATAATGATCAATATGGAGGACTTTCCTGGCAGTAAACTGTTAGCTGGAAGAACAATTAACTTCAAGAAATTTTAAAACATAGAGTGTGATCTGATCTTGAAAACGCTTATTCACATTATCAGTCCTTATTCTTACAATGCAGTCCTGATTTGTGGGAGTCAGATGTTCTCATCAACATTCTGTGCAAGTACTGTAACATACATACATGTTTCCTAGGTACAATAATAAAGTATCATTTTTTAGATAATTTGTTACAGAGTTCTGCAAATACTACTTGCAAAACTATTTTTAAAGGGAAGGAAAAAAAAAAAAAAAAAAAAAGGAAAAAAAAAAGGAAAAAGCTGTTGCTTTCTTAAGAGCTTCAAATTTTAAGGCTGCATTGTGTGTTCCCAGTAAAAGTCTTGCTCCAGCACGGTAAGCAGGGGGCAAACAGGACTTGCTCTTAACATTTCAATAGGCTTATCTCCATCACTAGTGAAGTGCTCTTCCACTGGTGCTCAGTTGGATACTTTTTTGTTGTTATTGTTATTATTCTTTTTCATTCAGAGAAAGAACTGATTCTTGTTCGTGATCCTGCAGTTGATCTCAGTAGTTTGTAAAAATACTTACAAAACTTTGCCCATTCTCCGCAGCACACCCCAGCCACATTTCTCTGGTTGGGTTGAGTTGTTACAAACCACTTGTCATTATCTCAAATTGCTTCTGCAACAGCAGGTACCATCACTGGCATCCCTCCAGAAATCTGAAGGTTTTAGTTTATACACAGAACCCTGTTTTCTAGAAAAATTCTTAGAACAGTGAAAAAGATTGCCAAAGCAAATAATAACCAAATGTCTCAACTGAACAAGAAATTAGTTATTCTCAGATGTTACAACAATCTCATCTTACCTAATTGCATGTGTTTTCTTGATAGGAACAATCAGTCTTGCTCTCACAAGAGGTCTTAAAGACAGTTTTAAAGAAGCCACCTGACAGAAAAAAGATCAATCTTGAATGAAAGAGCCTATAGCAAAAAATAATTTTCCATAGATGCAAAGTTGATAGAGAAGGGTAAAGTATTTCTCAAAGGGTCAGTAACGGAATACACAGCTTTTCCCCTCTAGGTTGCTATCTCAGATTGAGCTGAAGTTGTCAATGATAAGAAGTGGTGAGTCTCCAAACACCAGTACACTGCAAACATCCAAGAGGCAGTGATTATTTACAGCAGCATAGCACACTGAAAGGAGACAAAATAGAGGGAAATTACTGTTAGCTTTTAACATAACATGAAGACACATTTCTAGGTAGAATACAGCTAAGAGAAATCCAGTCTTCAGAGTGAGGTGGATTAGTGACCTAACAGTTTTTTTTCTACAAGATGCTTTCAGGCACAATAAAGACCAGTTTAGCATTCAGGACAAACGGAAATTTTCCTTAGACAAACATGTGAGATTGTTGCTGTCCTTTCAAACATTCATCAAAACTCCTCTATCACCCAAACCATTAAAAATTAATCATCTATAGTGGCTAGGTTCAGAGTAGCCAGCAAGGTTCATTAAATTCTTTTTAATTGAAATATGATTATTAAATTAAAAAAATCAATACCACAGTCACTATTTTGAAGTTACTCCAAGAGACTCTGAATCTCAATGATTATAAATCTAGCCTGTGTATCCTGCCTGTATCACCATCAGAACCATTGTTTTTGCATTTTATTGTTTTCTTTCAAATTACATGAAGCCTCTTCAGCCCTAAAGCTACGTCATCCTGTCAACTAGCTAGTGCATCGGATTCTGCTGCAGCTTGGGCTTTCAGGACTCTGCTGCAGAACAAAATGCCATCACAATCAATATCTGGAGAACTATGACACTGCTAGATGTGAGCTTGGCTCAGTGACTCCATTAGCACCATCAATACACGTCCAATGGCCGTAAGAGCAGCTCTGTGAGGTAGTAGCAGTCACTTCAGAAAAATCATTGACTGACTTAGTGGACAGACACAGAACTGACAATTAAATGAACTAACAGCTTCAATTCACTTGTTGTGATCAATTCAAGCTACAGTGTAGTCATTGGGGGTAAAAGTAGAAGCAGCATGACCAAGCCCGATCCACAGCTTTCATTTTGTGACAGTCTCCCAGGCAAGAATTTTTCCATCAAAGGCAAATAAGACATCTTAAAAAGAAGTTTCATAGTTTATCTTAAAGGTGCTCTTTCAGACACACAGAAGATTTTGGCCAAGAAAACTACAGAACAATTAAGTGGAACAGCTGCTGAGTGGGCTGCAGATCTGGTTTAGAGTGGGCAAGGAAACCTCCTGCATTTCAAACACAGCCTGCTGAGTATGTGCAGAGATCCCATACCTGGGTCTGGCTCCTTGCTGTTTCACATAGAAGCTATTTAAACCTGTGTAAAGACAGTTCCACAAGGCAAGGCAGTAGGGAGTTGGTCCACAATGCCAACACAGCAGCTTTGTGCCATTACATGCAGTCAAACCTACAACGTTTCAGCTATGCTCTTTTAGGCTCCTCCTCAATCACTGTTTTTCTTCATCCTGGATACAGGAACGGTTTATTTACTTTTCATATCCTATCCTGTCTGAAAAGGGAACCACAGTCCTTAAAACTGATAAAACAGTAAGTCACACTGAAGTGGCTTTCTGAAACTCATCCAAGCTCTTCAGTTCAATTGATGTTGTTTCCTTTTAACATAGATGTGGCAGAGTTGAATAGATTCCCTGGAGACTCCACAGATATTTTCGGTAGTGACAAGTGCCCATCCCAAACACAACTTTCATCTTGTTCATCCCTCCTTGAATGCTAAGTAGCGCCTTTTCCTCTTACAATGAATCAAAACTGAGTCTGCATAACAAAAACACCTCCAACACTCCAAAATGCCTGAAATACTTTCTATGTGTACTATTGCCACAATTATTCTCATTGTTAGATGCAGATTAACCCAAAACGACTGTGCAATGCCTTTTATCTGACCAGCACAGAAGTTGCACCAGCAGATATACATCTGTGCCAGGGGCAGCTTGCAGCATCCTAAAATTTAAAAGAAATGCTAATAGAGAAAGTATCTACCCAGAGGACAGTAGGGATTTTGTGCCAGCCAGAAATTGCTGGGGTCCTAAAAAAAATAATTATTAACTTGTAAAATAAAGTGTCAACGTTATAGAAGATCTATCTAATTGCATAGGTCAAAAGTATCTTCACAGAAAATTTACACTTTTTTTTTTTTTTTTTCCTCCATCAGTAATTGCATGCAAGTATGTGTAAGAATTCCCTACGACTGGTCTGGTAACTCATTCGTATACCATAGGATCTCTGAGAATGCAAATTGAATCTTGGCAAAGCCATGGTTATTATGGAAGCACTAAGTTTGATTTTTGAACAATTGCCTGCATATATTTTCATCTAAAATTTTACACTACAACAATAACTTTTGGAGACTGTTTTTATGAAGTTTATGTATATATATATATATTTTTTTTTTAATTACAAGATTATCCTGAAGAAAAAATTAAGATGCATTGTTTGAGCATGATCAACAATTCAAACAATCGCATCACTTACAGAACACATTTCCCTCACATTCCACATGCTCCAAGTTTATAGAAGTGTGTCTCTTCTTTCCACCAATTTGCATGCAGTCTGGAAATGCCTCTCCTAGTAGGAAATAAGCCCTACCTAGAGAAATGCTAGAGCCCTTTCTAACGTCTTTTTAAAGGGAGATGGGTCTGGGGATAAAATGCAAGGCCTGCAGACTGCATGCAATTCTCTTGTTTCACAGGCACAGTGGTCTGTCGGTGCAGCACTGCTGTACACGTGCAGCCCAGCTTGCCTTCAGCCCCGTGGCACAAGTGCAGCCCCAGGGCTGCTTCCCCCAGGCCCATAGCAGCAGGCTGGCTCCCGGCTCTAACACCCTGCCATCAGCCCTGCTGCAGCTCCCGCATATCTCGCAGTGCTGAGGGCTGATGGCCCACAGCTGCCAGTGCAGGGACACCGTGACAGCAGTGTGTACCTAGAATGTAAAAGGGGCTGAAGAATAACTCGCTCTGACAGATAACAGAGCCAATTAAAACCAGTGACATGATGCATGTGCAGCTCTACTGAAATCTATGAGAAAGGAATAGAAGAGTAGTGTTATCCTGCTATCTCAGCTCAGAAGAGAATTTCTACTCTGTGGAGCATTGTATCAGTCAAAGAGTAGCAAAGACACAGTATTTTGTAATGTTATGAGATTTTGCAGTTGCATGACATATGCATTCAAAAGATAACAACTTCAGGTTCCTATTACTATGAAAGCACTAAGCTATGTTTAATAACTAGCGCAGCATCATCAATATTCCCGAAACCATTTTGTTTATCTTCTAGCATTGAATTTGATATGACCAGTAACACTTCAAGATCTGTTAAAATAGTTTATAAGGCAAATTTATAACCATGGAAGCTCCTGCAACTGCTCACGCCCATATACTAGAAAAACATGCATGTCACATTGTATTTGGCATGAATATTGACTGGTAGTAAAACATTGCAAAGCTAGATCTAAGAACAATTTGCAGTTGTACTGAATGGCTGTATTATTAAATTTCATCTTGTTTAAGACAAAGTACAGCATGTCTTTCTACTTACTAAATTATTGTTATTACCTATATAAATTTATCTGTGCTGTGTCAAATAACTGTCAAATAATACACTCACTGACCCAAAAAGCGATTGATCAGCTAAACAACACAGGCAGATTCAGTATCCATACACAGTACTGCAGTCTTTCCACAGTTTGTGGGCTTAAGACAAAACCAGCAGTAAAAATACTAAGGAAAAAAAAAAAAAGCACCTCCAAAAGAAATTAATTAGAATGACTGGCCCAGGGTGCCCAGCAGCACGTCCAGGCAGCTTTTGGAGATCTCCAAGGAAGAGACACTCAGAGTCAGGCTGGACAGGGCTCTGGGCAACCTGATCTTGCTGCAGGTGTCCCTGTTCATTGCAAGGAAGCTGGACTAGACGGCCTTTAGAGGTCCCTGCCAACTCAAACAATTCTTTGATTCTCTTTGGGCAGCCTGTACCAGCGCTCCATCACCCACGCAGCACAGAAGTGCTCCTGGTGCTCAGACAGTGCCTCCTGTGCCTGTGCACATTTGAGTCTGCAGCCTGACAGAAAGATGACAGGGAACAACCAGTTTGGGTACTGGGCTTAGGGATAAGACAAGCAGACATTGCTATATGAGAAGACAGAAACTATTCCACACCTTTTTGTTCATAATCATGGGGTAGAACATACGCCTAGGAAACATTTTTTCACTCTTTTAATGCTCCTGTCATGAGGTTTGTGATAGAGATAGTGTTTGTGACAAGCTCAAATTGCTCCCTTCATGCTCTCCTATCCCCATCACGAGATCAGTCTCAATGTTTCAAGTGATGGGCACACTATAAATAAATTACTGTGAAACTTCTGCAAACTGTCATCAGGAGAGGGCCAAAAAGCCTAATTTTTGTCATTATGGAAGCTTGGGGGCAGGAGTTTGAATCTTTGTTCTGTTGTGTCGCTGTTTTGTTGTTGTTTTTTTTTCCTCTGGTAAAATGTCAGTTTAATGTTTTTGGAAAGATTTTGCCTTCTTTTTTTTTTTTTTTGTAGGCATATCATCAAAGCCTATTAGTGTAATACTTGCTATCATTCATTAACTGGAGAAAACTCGTTAAACACATGTCACTTCAAAACTGCGTGACATAACATGAAATTAAAATGACCTTTATTTTGGCACACTTCTGCACTGAGTTAGGGTATTAGTAAGTCCCAAGCGCTGCCTGTTTATGAATGCCAGTCAGGCTACTAGCATGGCTCTAATGTGCTCACAGATCGTGCAGCCTACAAGCAAATGCAGCTAATTGCAAACAGTGAAGTAACTGGATGTGGGGTGGGGAGATGGGGAGGTAAATCTACAGTTTACCAAGAAGGAAACCACTACTTTGAGACTATGGATT